CTCGATTCAGCCTAGTGAAACTGAGTTCAAATTTCTGGTCTCTGGAACTGCAAGAGCATAAATTTTTGTTATTTTAAGCCACCAAGTTTATAGTAATTTGTTACAGCAGCCACAGGAAACTAATACAGGTATGATTTGACAAGGCCACAGGAAGAACATTCTGAAGAGACATCGTGAGCAAAGAAATAAAGGTGGGAATGACTGAATTCAGGCAACAGTGAAAAGCCATTAAACTACTGAAACTGGTGTACATGGAGTGCAGTGGGAGATACACTCTTCCTGAATTGTCTCATAATTTCTCAGCATTTGTAAAGGCATTTTAAATTTAAATTAAATTCAAGGCATTTAATTTAAAACTATCAGAAAACTTGATGCAATATGCTAGTTTCTATTGCTTTCCTATATTTGCTTTCTGTGAAATATAAACAAACTATACAAACTAAATACATAAAACACAGCAAGTTTAAATCTTATGTATACATTTCTTCTCCACTGAAAGGAAATTTACATAAAACACAAACATAAACATCTGTGTATATCTCCAGTAATATATTAAGTGACAGTGATGTTCTCTTTAACCAAAAATGTACTTATGCATTCAAAATTACCATTTACATAGAATTTGGGAAGAAATACACATTTTTTTCCAATGGAAATTACCCTACTGTGTCCTAAAATATGTAAACATGACCTAGATACAGCAGAGTGGTATTTGTGAAATGTCACACATGTTCAAAGCTATCACCCATAGGACGCAGACTTACTTTACAGCTTTTAAAATGGTATGAATCTCCAAACATACACACACTCATACACACACACCACACACATATACACACAGAGTTCAGAGTTCAGTTTTGAATAGAGTGTTTGCCTGATTCCTTCTTTGGAAAATTAAGACATTGAGAATTTAAATCCATTCCCGAATAAAACTTGCATCTCTTGGTGGTGGAAAAGTGGTACAGGTTTTACAGACACCATCTGAATCCCAGGGAATGAGTATCTTACTCATTCAGGTTCCTGAGGCCTGTATACAGGGACATAGAAGCAGAGTGTGCTCAGAGCCACCAGTCCCGCCATTCGCAAAGCCACTGTCATGGAATGAAAACCCACAATTATAGATGATGTCAAAGCTTGAGGGTGGGGTCTTCCTTACCTGTACTTACTCCTCTTGCTTAAAATTGATTTTTTCCCATTCTCTTCCATCGCCTTCTCTCCTACCCGGCCCGTGTAAATCACCAATACGATTTCTTGTCCAAAGACTGTCTTCTTGGGAGAGTCAGGGTGATGTAAAGATTAAGGGCATGGGCTCTGAAGCCACATGGACCTGTGGTTCAGGTCCTGGCCTCCACATTTTATTAGCAGTGTGACATTTGGCAAGTTAGTCACCCTGTTGGAGTCTCAATTTCCTCATCTGGAAATGGGGAGGATACTATAGTGCCAGCTGTACTGCACTGTTATGAGGCTTTCATGAGCCCTTAGCACAATATAGGTATATAGTGTGAAGGAAGGATCCAAGCGCTGCCTGACTCTTCCCTTATGTTCCCAAGAAGAACCTTGTGCTCGGTATAGGACGTGCTGGCAAGCTCACAGATCACATGGCCTCCACAGATCTCAGCTCACAGACATGATGCCCCTATTCCTTCTGTATCAGACACATGCAAACCTTTCTTGGGACTCTTTAGTAATACATACATCAATGGCCCTCAGGCACACTTTCTGTATTTCAGACCCCAGGGGGCAAGGGTTGGGGTCCTTCTCTGCAGCACGAAGTGGGGTTGGTGCAGCCACCTCGCCCACCTGCTGCAAAGTGGATCTGATAGCCATGGGAACCACACATTGCAAGGGGCTGGGTCTTCTGCACTCTCTCTCCCCTCTTGCTGTGAGTAAACGCTGTTATCACTTGAGCCTGGTGTGTGTGTTGTCTGTCCTCAGTGACCTCAAATCATGCACTGGTCTCTTCCCTTGATGGCACTTACCTGCCTTTTGACCTTGGCCCCACTGATATTATATTATATCCTATGGCACAGCCTGACCACCTAGTGAAACATATAGTAACTATTGAACAACTAAGAGCTATTCGTGAACCACATCGTATCTAAAAGGCATCAATTGTAAGAAATGTCATTGTTCTGGTACCAATGGGAAAGTTAAAACACTTCCAACTAAATCGTGACATGTCATTAATTGTAAGACACATTCTGACTTCAGAGATATTAAAATGTGAAAATAACGTGTAGCCCAGAATCCATGAAATACAGTATTATTATAAGGAAAATAGATGTGTGCATAAAAAAGACACTGGTGCCTTCTCTGAATAGATAGGAAAAAAACCCACTTTTTTTCTTATAGATGCATAAATGAATTTAAACATCAGTATGCCTGAACTTATAAATGACCTCCAATTCTTAAATCCTCTCCAAACTCTCTCTCCCACAGTCACATCCTGTCGTTTTTACATATTTCCACTTGGTGCTATCAACATTTAATTTCCCTCTGGATATCTTTTATTTAAACAGTCTCCATTACTGCTCCCCTTGCTCTACTACCTGTACCTTCTGCCCCCTATTTCAATAGTATACAAAGACCAGAATCTCCTTTTAAAAAAATCCTTTCAGTAAAGACGCGTTATCAGATGCTCGGTTCGTCTTTTAATGCTAGAATTTGTTAAACGTGATTATTAATTCCAGGGCTTCAGCCTTAGCTGGAACTTCTAAGCAGAGCGGACAGGTCCCCATCTTCTCTTCACTTTCCCCAGGAGCGTCCCTGCCAGCTACTCTTGGGGCTGCTTCTTCTCAAAGGCGCCCCTTCATTAATAGGGGCTTTTCTGGGCAGTGGCTTTGCCTGTGATTAATTATCATGAACCCAACTTGGACCTTTGGCTCTCTGGCTCTTAGCTGAGTAGCCAAGACATTTCTCTAGACTGAGATAGTTGGCTTCAGTTCTAATTAATGATCAGTTGTTATCAGCTTAGTTTAGACTTTTTGCTCTCTGACTTTTTGGCTGGGTAGCCTAAACACTTCCCAGATCCAAAGAGCTGGCTGAAATTTATGTTCCTTTTTTTTGGCACTGTCTTGATCATTCTGATGCTTTCCCGGATCTGGAAAAAGATTTTAATTGTTTACAGTCTTGATTAATGGGCTTGCTGTTGCTTTGATAGTTCATCATTTATAATGATAAGAAACCAAAAAACAAATGGGCATGTTATATTGCTCTTCTGGGATATTTTGGTCAATCCTTTTTAAGGAGTTACTGTTTTGTTTCCTTCTCTATTACTATTAAGTTACTAATAATTTCATTATAATTGAACTTTAAACTATCACTATTTCTAACTCCTTTCTCCCTAAGGTATTTATTAAGCTGTAGAATTTCTTACTGTTGTTTCAACAGTCCTTTCTCAGAGTCTGCTGGTTGTATATCTGAAGTTAGCTGCTCACTGACAGTTGGGTATCAATTTGCTGCAAACACAGGGCGTTCTTATCACTTCTTTAGCATCTATCACAAAGCTCAGTGAAAGAGGCTTCTTACTCTCTATCAAACAAATGAATCCCTCAGGCTCCATAATCACTCTTTGGTTAATTACCACATTTGGCCCAGTAAATAATCCCCATTTAACATGGAACCCTACGTTCATTTTTACTAACTAGTTTTACACTCCACTCTCGACTTGCCATCTAAGTTCTAGTTCATGTCAGAGGCTCTTCTTGAAATCCAGTTATTATTTATGAAGGCTGTTGCTCTTGTGAATTAGTACATTGTTAACCTAGTCTAGATGGCCTCTGCTTTCCAAATACTTGGCTTAGATGGAAATAGATGTTTTCTCTGCTAGAATTCTCTGTAGCTGCTTTCTTTGTTTCCAAAGGGAAAAGAATGAAAAAAGATAAAATACAGAGCATTTGAGGGAGGTGATGGTGTCTGTTTCTATTTCTAAAATGATTATCGTGCATCCAGTTTCATATGACATTTTCTTGACAATGACACTAGAAGCCAAAGTTTGCTCTTCAGTTCTGTTTGCTGTCTTAAATCAAGAGAGCTGTCTCTACCTTTACTAATTTCTATATTGTTTCAACTCTCTCGTTATAGTTTCTGTTTGATCTTAATTCAAAATTTTACACATGATAGAAATCACCTCTCTCTAAGTTCACCAATGACTTCATTTTGAGAGAAATTCTAGGTTTTTCCCCCCAGTCTTGTACTTTTTGACCTCTGGACTGCAATTAATACTATTGACCCTTCGCTCCTTGAAAGCCTGTCCTCCCTTGATTGGCCTGACCCTACGAGGCGCGAGCTCTCCTCCTCCCTCTTCAATCGGTCTTTCTCTGTCTCCTCCACAGACCCCCTCTTAGTCCTCCCATCCTCTAATACTAGATCACCCAAAGGGCCTGTCCGGAGCATTTTGTTATTCTGTCCCTACACTTCTCCCTCAGGAATGTATAACTTACAGCTTTATCATCACTTTCATACTAATTGATTTTGTTATCTCTAAGTTCAGTTCTGTCACCTGAGTTCTGATTCACATTTCTCTATAGAGAACTTCTTCTTGGCTATCCTGTTATCACCCCACATTTCACTTATTCATTTATTTAACCAATATTTATTGCGTGTCTACGATGTGGCAAAGACCGTGCGAGGCCCTGAAGATACAGTGATGATCAAAATACCATTTCTGCTCTCCAAGAGCTGACAGCTCAGTAGAACTGTAAGGTAAGGACTATGTCAAATTATTTGTAAATCAAAGCAAAATACAACAAAACAAAAACATGCTGCTCTTCTTGTTCCCCAAATCTACTTTGTTCCTCTCTTTTCCAACTCCCTTTTTCTCTATTTGTAATCAGCCCCTCATTCATCCAAGCTGTAATTCTTGGTCCTATTCTTTTATGTATTAGTCAGATTTCTTCTGTAATAATCTATGTAACCAATATCCCCAAATGTCAGCAGCTTACAAGTATTTATTTCATAATTATAGGTCTACCAAGGAGTTGCAGCTCAGATGATCTCACCTGGGATTGGCTGGATTAGGCTGGATTTCAGGTAGAGTTTGGGTCAGCTCCGTAGATCTTCATTCTTGGGCCAGAGTAACGGAATAATGGTTACCTGGGGCGTGCTCTTCTTATGGCAAAGGATGGAAGTTTCAGGAGTGTGGGTAGGAACTTGCTAGACCCCTTCTTTTTTCCAGTTTTATTGAGACATAATTGACAAATGACATCATGTAAGTTTAAGGTATACAACGTGTTGATTTGATACACTTATAGATTGTGAAATGATCACCACCATAGTGTTAGCTAACACGTCCATCACCTCATATAATTACCATTTCTTTTTTGTGGTGAGAACATTTAAGACTACTCTCTTAGCAACTTTGAATTATATAATGCAGTATTCTTAACTATAATCACCACATTAGATCCCCAAAACTTATTCGTCTTATAACTGAAGTTTCTACCCTTTCACGAGCATGTCCCCATTTCCCCCACTCCCTAGTCTCTGGGAACCCCCACTCTACTCTCTGTTTCTACAAGTTTGGCTTTTTTAGATTCCGTATGTAAATTATATCATACAGTATTTGTCTTTCTCTGTCTGACTTATTTCACTTAGCATAATGCCCTCAAGATCCACCCATGTTGTTGCAAATGGCAGGATTTTCTTCTTTCTCATGGCTAAATAATATTCTATTGTGTATACATCACATTTTCCTTATCCATTCATCCACTGATGGACACTAGGTTGTTTGCATATCTTGGCTATTGTGAATAATGCTGCAATGAACATGGAAGTGTAGATATCTCTTCGATACTTTCATTTCGTTTGGATATATACCCAGAAGTGGGATTGCTGGATCCCATATGGTAGTTCTATTTTTAATATTTTGAGGAAGCTCCATACTGTTTTCCATAGTTACTGAACCAATTTACATTCCAACCAACAGTGCAAAAGCGTTCCCTTTTCTCCATGTCCTCACCAACACTTGTTATCTCTTGTCTTTTTGATAATAGGCATTCTAACATGTGTTAGGTGACATCTCATTGTGGTTTTAATTTGCATTTCCCTAATGCTTAGCAGCGTTGAGCATCTTTTCATGTTCCTGTTGGCCATTTGAATGTCTTCTTTGAAAAAATGTCTATTCAATTCCTCTGCCCATTTTTTTTTCTTTGAGGAAGATTAGCCCTGAGCTAACATCTGCTGCCAATCCTCCTCTTCTTACTGAGGAAGACTGGCCCTGAGCTAACATCCGTGTTTATCTTCCTCTACTTTAGATGTGGGATGCCTGCCACAGTATGGCTTGCCAAGCAGTGCCATGTCTGCACCGGGGATCCGAACAGGCGAACCCCGGGTCACTGAAGCAGAACATGTGAATTTAACCGCTGCACCACCGGGTCGGCCCCCTCTGCCCATTTTTCAAATCGGATTGTTTCATTTTTTTCTATTGAGTTGGATGAATTCTTTATATATTGAGATATTAACCCCTTATCAGATAAATGATTTGCAAGTATTTTCTCCATTCTGTGGGCTGCCTTTTCATTTTGTTGATGGTTTCTTTTGCTGTGCAGAAGCTTTTTTAGTTTGATATAGCCCTAGTTATTAACTTTTGCTTTTATTGCTTGGGCTCTTTGTGTCATATCCAAAAAATGATTGCCAATACCTATTTAAAGGAACATTTTTCCTGTTTTCTTCCAGGAGTTTTATGGTTTCAGGTTTTACATTTAAGTCTTTAAACCACTTTGAGTTAACTTTTGTGTGTGGTGTAAGATAAGGATCCAATTTCATTCTTCTGCATGTGGTCATCCAAATTTCCCAAAACCATTAATTGAAGAGCCTGTCCTTTCCCCTATTTAGTATTCTTGGCTCCCCTGTCAAGTATTAGTTGCCCATATTTGCAAGGGTTTATTTCTGGGCTCTCAATTCTGTTCCATTGGTCTATGTGTCTATTTTTATGCCAGTACCACACTGTTTTAATTACTATAGCTTTGAGTATAGTTTGAAATCAGGAAATGTAATGCCTCCAGCTTTGTTCTTCTTTATCAGGATTACTTTGGCTATTCAAGGTCTTTTGTGGTCCCATAAAAATTTTAGGATTGCTTTTCTATTTCTGTAAAAATTGCCATTGGAATTTTGATAGAGATTGTATTGAATCTGTACATTGCCAAACCTCTTAAAACCTTGATTTGGAACCAGTCACAACCCCAAACCCAGAGTCAATGGGACAAGAAAGTCTATGCCCACTTTCCATGCATCAAGCGGAGAAGAAGGAAGGGAGTAAATGTTTGCTGAACAATCATTTAATTTAACCAATATTCCTTTCCTTCATCATCAATAACAAACCACTAGCCAGTAAGTCTCATAAATTTTTGCTTCAGTGTAACTCCTATATTTATCACTTCCTCCGCCATTATTCTTGAGGTTGTAGAATAGGTCTTAATACCTCACATCTCTCTCCTTACGAAACAGAGACTGCCAAACTGTGGCTGTACCATTTTACATTCCCACCAGAAATGTATGAGGGCTCCAGTTGTTCCATATCTTCACTAGTACTTGCACTGTCAGTTTTATTTGATTGTTTAATTTTTTAAAATTTCTTTAGCCATTCTAGTAGATGTGAGGTAGTTTCCCACTTGGGTTTTAATTTGCATTTCCCTAGTAACTATTGATGATGAGCCTCTTTTCGTATATGCTTATTTTCTATTCTTACATATCTCCAGTGAAATATCTGTTTAAATCTTTTACTCATTTTTTTATTGAGTTGCTTATTTTTTTATTATTGAGTTTTGAGAGCATTGTATGTATTATGAATACACGTCTTTTGTCAGATATGTGTTTTGCAAGTATTTTTTCACAGTCTGTGGCTTGTCTTTTCATCCTCCTAGTAGTATCTTTTGCAGAGCAGAAATGTTTTATTTTGACTAAATCCAATTTATCCATTTTTTCTTTTATGGATCTTGTTTTTGGTGTCTTAGCTAAGAAATGCTTGCATAACACAAAGGTTTTTTTTCTATGTTTTCTTCTAGAAGATTATAGTTTTAGGTTTTACATTTAGGTCTTTTTTTAGTAATCCATTTTAAGTTAATTTTTATACAAAGTGAGAAGTATGGGTCAAGATTCATTTTTTGCATATGGATCTCTGATTATTTCTCCCTCTAATAAAACCTATATACTTCTATCAAGATGAGCTTCCTTAGAACCATTTTATCATGGCCTTCCTCTGATTAGAACTTTCCATTGCTCCCTGCTCTGTACCACTAACAGCTAACACTCCTCAGCCTCCGTTATCTGGTACTGCACTATTTCACTCACTGTATTTCCCACAACCTCCCATACTGCCCATGGCATTGTCCTCACTGTGGTTAGTGGACTTTGGGAGCTATTGTTTCTGGATTACCAGAAGGTCAATCAGAATCCTTCCCTGGGATTATAAAATGGATATGGAAAGAGTGACTTTCCTCCCACTGAGTTAAAAGGGCCAAATTAAGGAAGAGAGAAGAAGGCCAACACATAGAAGGAAGCAATGGATTGACCTGACAGTAGACCCCACCCTCCTGGCTCTAGGAGTTGTCAGGTGACCCGGTGTCACCCTAATGGCTGTAAGGGTGGGAAGCCCTTGTCCATTAGCAGACGGAAAATCTTACGATGAGGTGCTCAGGCTAAACACAAAATCCAGAGAATAGTAGAAGAGTTCTCAGCTCTGCCCCTTGAGTCTACCCTTGTCCCTCCTCTCTGATTTCCCTCCCTCTCCTCCTGCCTCCCCGGTCCCTCAGGTCTTTTTGGCTCTCCTCCTCCATCCCTGGCCCAGCTGTTGCTGCTGCTTCACTTCTCTCTTTGGTTTCTGTTCAGGTTTCCCTGAAGCAGCTGGAGCAGGGAGCTCCATGGCCTGTGCTTATGAGAAGAGAGTGAAGGGAAAAGCCCTCTCCTGGTCAGGCTTCTGCATGAACCATGTATAGACAAACTTAACGAAACAGATATAAATTTCACTCAACAGCACATTATTTTAATCAATCAAATTAAATCTGACTCCCAGAGCACATGCTCTGAGGTGGTGAGAAATTTAATTAGAACAGTTTAATTAGAACAGTGGAAGACAATACAGACTAAGTTGGCTGTTTTTTGAGGATTGGCTTCACTCTGGGGCATCTGGAAATGAAGTCAAGGTGGTCTTGGAATGCGTTAGGTGCCTGGACTCTGATGGCCAGCCAGACTCCAGCTTGTTGCTGGTGAAGAGGCAGATAAAGACAGGACTTGGGAAAGCTCTGACTGTCACCTGGGTCATGCTGCTCCTTCCTGAGACCAACCACCTAATACCTGCAACCACACTGGACATTGGTTGTGGAAAAGGACAGCTTGTAATTTTCCTCCTACATACACATCTGGTTGGTGAGTAGCTGGAGAGAACTGGACTGGAAAAGAAAGGCCTACTCCCTTTTCCTCCTGACCATTGGTGAAACCCTTCCCTCCTCTTCTTGGGCCCCCAATGCGCCCCTGGCAATCTGAGATCACTGGTCACAATCTCCGATGGAGACCTGTGCTGTTTGTTTCCACACTCAACAGATCACATGATGGACATCTTGCCCTGGTCAGAGTGATGTGATACCCTTTTCCTGATGGCTTCTCTTTTCTTACTGTTGTAATTAATTTGAAAACTCCTCTCTAAACTTATGCCCATATGAACAATCAGACTGTCCCATACATGATCTTCTCTGGACTCTGACTGAGGGGACATTATGTGACAAGACCCTCTCACTGTCTCCCCTTCCTTGGAAAACAATTTTGTTACTGCAATTTCACTGGAAGTTAACATGAAATGTAATTCTACATTTTGAGGGAGGGAAAAAAAGTCGAAGTAGATTAAGAGCTCATACTGGTGATTAATTTAAGTTTTCTAATTTGAAAATTTTTTGTTTACTTTACAAACTGAGCTTTAAGAAGATAATAATTTTTCATCTACCTTCAAATGGCTGTGCTTTACAATTTCTCTGAGACAGAGAAGTCATATGCCCCTCCACTTCCGATTATTCTTCCTGCCTTCTTTCTGCATCTTCAATTTTCTTTTCATCCTCAATCTCCCTGTGCGTGTACTTGCAGATCCTTTAATGATTTTTAATAAATATCTGAAACAAAATGCAAAGGAAAAAGCACAAGGAGCTAGAGAAAGAGGAGTCGACTCTGACACCCCACCCTGAGGCAATTTAACTGCCTGGGCAGCAACTCTCTGCCCTGGAACCGCCCAGGCTTTCATCCTTTAGGTTCCAAGGTAAATGGTAACCAGGCCACTGCCCACTGCCTCATGCCCTCCCCAGTGTCCTACCACACTGTCTTTGCTTCACTTCCTAGGATTCAACAATGCTCTCCTAGCCTTTGAGCATGCTATTCTTTCCAGCAGGAAACCTCACCGCTGGTTCCCAGCTTGGCTGCCTCCTTCTCAATCTTTAGGCTTCAGTTTAAATTTTGCCTCCTCCAAGAAGCCTTCCTGACAGCCAGCAAAGGTCCGTGGCCCCGACCCTGGTTTTTCTTTGTCAGTCTCCTGTGTTTCCTTCAGGGTTCCCATCACAATTTGTAACTGTCTGGTTTACTTTCAGTTCTTGGGTTTCACTTTTTGTCTTTGGTTTTCTTCCAGCCTGTCTCCTGGCTCTGCTGTGGGCTCTGAGGGAAGGAACTGGGTCTAGCCAATTGAATTCTTAACTCCAGAGATAACACCTGGCCCATAATAGGCAATCAGCAAACGTCCCTTTAGGGAACAAACAAATGAAGGACTACCTTCTCCAGAGAAGCCCAGTGCGCCAAGCTGCTCTGAGAAGCTCTTCGCTGCATTGATTCCAAATTCCACTGAGCAAGAGCTCTAAGGAGGGTGCCCTGGCCAAGCGGGTGGGTGGGCTATGTCTAAGGTCAGATGCAGAGGAAGTCACCCCAAGGAACACTCAGAAGGACAGAGTGAAGCATCCTTGGATTATTTCCTCAATGGAGGAAATTGACTTGGATCTCAAATTGAATCAGGTGTCCAATATAGAGAGCTCAAAGCTAGCCACTTTTGTTAACCACCCGCATAAAATGACCCTTAACCTGTGCTGGGGAAACCCTGGAAGTATCATGCCAACCTTAGCAGAGGGGCACTGCTTTTAGCCGAGGGTAAAAAAGACAAAAAATAATGTTAAGTATTCTTGAGGCCGAGTCTCTGAATGCCTGCAAAAGACAATGACATTCCTCTTACTGAGCACATGCATTTTTTTTCTTTAATCTTGAGTTTCTCAAAGGAAGAGACTTTGCAATGTTCATCTTTGCATTCCTACCACAATCTCTGGCACAGGAGCCTGTGAAAGAGGAGCACAAGAAAATTCAGATATTACAAAAATGTCTGACCCCTAAGTTATATCTGTAAGTATAATCCCTTACTGGAAGGAAATTCTTATTACTAGCTGATATACGTAAGTCCAGAGGATGGGGAGAAATACGCCTTTTATTTATGAAGTCAACTTGTGAGTCCCTGAAGAGCCCATCTTGGGTGGGCATCTGAGAATGACCTTCTCTCTGGTCTCTCCCCACCTTCCTTTATTCCTCCACCATCCTTTCCACTTTTTCTCTTCTTCCTCTTTCTTCCAATGTCCACTTCTCATCCTGGAGAATCATATGCCATCTTTACCATGTGTTGCTGGAGAAGGCTTTTAGCTCTTAACATTTTTCAGAGTAGTGAAAAAAAAATAACTCAAAATCATACAAAATGTATTAGGAGTGGATTCAACTGCATACAACAGAAAACCTACGTGACTTAACCAAGACAGAGACCTCGCTCTCTTCTAAAGAAGTTGAAGGAAGAGGGCCCACTGCTGGTGGGGCAGCACCTCGTTATCAGGGGCCAACACTCCTTCAATCTCTGTGCTCCACTATCCTTAGTTTGCCACTTCCGTCTTCAAGGTTACCTCACGGTCCAGGATGGCTGCTGGACTTCTAGTTCTAGGCAGAAAGTAGAAGGAAGGGGGCAAAGACAACAAGGGTACTCCAGCCAGTGGAGGCAGCCTCTGTAATGAGATTTCCCAGAAGCCTCACTCAATGACTTCTGCTTGTACCACACTGGCCAATTCTATCTGCAAGGAGGATAAGAAATGTTACCTTTTAGCTGGGCACATTGCTGCCTTGAGTGTTCTGTTATTACGAAAAAAGAGGAGAATGCAGAATGGAAATTTGTGTACCCCAGTTGCTCAGAGCATATGTCAGAATCATCTGGAGGGCCTATTAAAATACAGACTGTCATATCCCCAGAGTTTCTGATTTAGAAGGCCTGAGGAGGATTCTGAGAATTTGCGTTTCTTTTTTTTAATTTTTTGCTGAGGAAGACTCGTCCTGAGCTAACATCTGTGACCATCTTTCTCTATTTTGTATGTAGGTTGCTGCCACAGCATGGTCACTGACAAGTGGTATAGGTCCACGCCTGGGAACCTGGCCTGGGCCTCCAAAGAAGAGTGTGCTGAACTTAACCACTAGGCAACAGGGCCAGCCCTGAGAATTTGCATTTCTAACAAGCTCTCAGGTGATGCTAGAGCTGCTGGTTTGGGGACCACACTTGGAAAACCACTAGCATTTTCTTCTAAGCAAGACAAACTTTTTTCCTCTTAATATTGACCATCTACTTAATTTAACTTCAATATATTATTTTACTAACAAAGTCTCAGATTCCTTACTCTACCAAGGAGACCCTTCCCATCAGAGATAGGGTAAGGGAGAAAGGAAGTCAAGTCTTCCTTAACCAGCATGGCTGGAAATCTGTTCTTTCCCACTACTTGCAAACTAGAGCATCTGAACTGTGTGTGGAGTTGAGAAACAGTCTAGAAGCGATTGGGCTTTAGCTGCATCAATGATGGATGCTCAGCAAACGAAACAAGAACTATAAATGGAAGCTAAAAAGATAATTTGGTAGGAGACCCCTGAGCATTAGGGAACTTCCTAAAGGCCACATAACTGGTCTTCCTTTGCCAGTGAAGGTTCAGGGTAATTCGGTGGACTCATTCTGGAGCAGGGAGATGGTGTTATAGACCAGAAGAGGAAGGGATTAGCAAGAAAGGATCATGGGTCTATGGGCCTGCCAGCAGTGCCTAACAGCCTGGAGTAGAAATTTAATCACCTGGAGATCAGAACCCCATACCCTGAATGGCCAGCCGAGAGGTACTTCCTTCCTCCATCCTCCCTTTTTTCTCACATTTTTTTTTGTTCTGTTTTGTTTCAAAAACTTGCTAAGTGAAAGAAGGAAAAGAAAAGAATTTTTGTCTGTGCTCAGCCTAAAGAAATAAAGATCTACAAATCCTTGGAGACCAAGTGTGGTAGGGAGAGTGAAGGAAAAAGTTAAAGAAACCCAAAGGAGAAGTGAAAACTTGGGCCAAGAAAGTCAGAGGCCACTTGTACGAAATACTTGCCCCTTCTGGGGCTGTTTACCACACAGGCTCTTTTTTCTTATCACTTGGGGAATTTTTGTGTTTTATTTTATTTTATGGTGTAATTCCCACACAAACCATTCTCTTGGTGGAGTCTGATTTGAAAATGATGCCCTATAGTTCCAAGCTGGTTGTGTGTGTGTGTATGTGTGTGTGCATTCCTTTAAAATTGTTCATTGTCAAAAGGAGGGTGATATAGGTTCCTATACCTTCTTTCCCTCTTAAGGGTCTGTCTGGGCCCCAGAAGGCAATGACTAGCACTTCTAAATTCTATATACTTGGAAAAGCTCTACATGGAAAATAGAAACTCAAAATTCATGTTAAGCTCATTTTAATTGAGTTGTAGTATAATTTAGACCTTGAACTTCTTCAGCCAGCCAGATAACCAGGGAGGCACTTCAAAGATCCGGGAAAAGCCATAGAGTTATAAAACACTTGCCACAGAACAGACCTTTGCTAGATCAACCCTTTCTCTGGTGGATAAGGAAGTTGAGGTTTAGAGCAGGTCAGTGACTTGGCTGTAAGTCACTAACAGTGACTTTCTGATTTATGCACTTAGCTATTCCCACATTTGTAGCCATTCTTTGTCTACTCATACTTCACTAACCAGTATTTTACAAGTCTTCACAAAGTTCTGAAACTTTATAAATATTTTGGTTGCTGGAGTTGCTGGTTTTAATTAATTAAAACAATTAATGACTTCATGTCAGACATTGGGCCAGAGGTTAGGTTATAAGGACAATAAAGGCAAACATGACTTCTCGTGTCCACAAGGAGCTCTTAGTCTAGCATGAAGGATAAGATGTACCCAATAGTTGGTGTGCAGGGTAGATAGAGTCCTGCCATCAAAATGCAGAGAAAAAAGGTTGGGGGAGTTCTGAGGAGAACTGCTTCCAAATGGGAGGAGGTGTTCATGGAGGAGGTGGCCTTGGGGCTGCCATGGGGAGTAACTGGAGATGTGACCATGAACTAGAGTGATGCCTAGAGGAGCCCACCACATGAAAGAACAGAATAAAGGCTGGCTGTGAAAGGGGTGCATGAAGGACAAGAGCGTCTCGCTAGAATATACGATGTGTGAAGGGGATTAACATGATAGAAACACTCTGCCAACAGCATTTAACAGCAAATTTCTTTTTTCTTTTTGCTGAGGAAGCTTCCCCTGAGCTAACACCTGTGCCAATCTTCCTCCAGTTTGTACATGGGTCACCACCACAGCATGGCTCGATGAGCAGTGTGTAGGTCCACGCCCAGTATCCAAACCCACAAACCTGGGCCGCCAAAGCAGAGCGCACTGAACTTAACCACTATGCCATAGGGCCAGCCCCAAAATTTCTTAAAATATAGGACCATGTGTGGGGCCAGCCCTGTGGCTGAGTGGTTAGGTTAGCATGCTCTGCTTCGGCAGCCCAGGGTTTCGCCCATTCGGATCCTGGGCACGGACATGGCCCCACTCATCAAGCCACGCTGAGACGGCATCCCACATGCCACAACTAGAAGGATCCACAACTAAGAATATACAACTATGTACTGGGGAGCTTTGGGGAGAAAAAGGAAATAAAATCTTGAAAAAAAAATATATATAGGACCATGTATTAGTTTCCTAGGGTTGCCATAATAAAATACCACAAACTGGGAGGCTTAAACAGCAGATGTTCATTTTCTCCACAGTTCTGGAGGCTGGAAGTCCAAGATCAAGCTGTGGGCAGGTCTGGTTTCTCCTGTGGCCTCTCTCTTTGTCTTGCAGATGGCCACCTTCTTGCTATGTCCTCAGGTGGCCTTTCCTCTGTGCATAGGCACCCCTGGTGTCTCTTCATCTTCTTATAAATACACCAGTCCTATTGGATTAGGGTCCACCCATATGGCCTCATTTAACCTTAATTACCTCTCTAAAGGCCTTATCTCTAAGTACAGTCACATTCTGAGGTATTGGGGGTTAGGGCTTCAACACATGAATTTTGGGAGGATACAGTTCAGTCCATAACAACCAGCACTCTGCATGATTACATTACTTCAAGACAGATTACACTTTTATAAAAGCTACCAGGCATGAAGAAAGCTTATTAAAACAGGTTGTACATTGACTCTGCCACACATTTTCTATGAATCTTTTATCCAAATTTGAAAGTTAAAAGTAGAGATTCAAATACTGCATAAAAACTTAGAAAAACAACCTTGCATTTCTATTCCCAGAAATTTACCCGAGAGAAATAAAAAATATATGTCTACTCAGAGACTTAGGCATGAATGTTCATAGCAGCATTACTCATAATAGCTAAATGTGGAAACAACCTAACTGTCAATCAACTGATGAACAGATAAACAAAATGTGGTATATCCAGACAATGGAATAGTATTTGACCATAAAAAGGAATGAACTGCTCATACACACAACAACATAGATGAACCTTGAAAACAGTATCCTAGGTTAAACCTGCCAGATGGAAAAGACTATATATTGTATGATTCTATTTACATAAAATGTCCAGAAAAGGCAAATTTATAGAGACAGGAGGCAGATCAGTGGTTACCTGGGGCTGAAGAAGGGAGTGGGGACGGATGGAAAAGGGCATAGAAGAGCTTTTTAAGGTTTCTGAAAGGAGGTTCCTTGAAGAAGTTCTAAACCTGGATTGTGGTGATGGTTGCAAAACTCCATAAATTTACTAAAAAGTATTGAATTATATGCTTACTATGGGTGAATTTTATGGTATGCAAATTATACTTCAATAAACCTGGAAAATATTAATGAAAAAATACATTAGAGGGATTGAAAAATTACAAGAAAATAAACTTTAAAAAATTTCCTGTAATCAGGCAGAAAAGCTTATTCCTTCCATCTGTAGTCTACAAAAGGAAAACCTCTACCCCCATCCCAAATGAGTCCTTAGTTC